CGCCCACACTAACCCCCAGGGACGATTTAGACTGTTCAAACAGCCTGCCATGCATGTTTTTGGAATGTGGGAGGAAACCGGAGTACCCGGAGAAAACCCACGCAGACCCGGGGAGAACATGCAAACTCCACACAGGGAGTGCGGGGATTGAACTCATGGACCACCGGGCCGCCTATTATTATTATTCTAATTATTATTATTATTATTATTATTATTATTATTATTATTATTATCATTATTATTATTATTAAATTCCTCATCACATGTATTTTTTCTTGCGGGCCTTTCCCCATTTAATGGACGGATCATTGCATTGCCGGAATCGAGGACACGAATGCCCAGGCGGAGGGCCGTCGTACGACTAAAAACAAAGAAACTTAGCCGGACCTTCACAAAGAAGAGAGGTTCAGAAGGAGGGGTAGAGGCAAGAAGGCGTACGGTTTGCTGGAGGCTTACATTTTCCTCAAGTTGCCTGAACGCCTCATCGGCTTGTTTAGCATCAGTCCCTAACATGGGGCTTCTGTCGACCGGCTCTGACAGGCCGAACTCAACCATCGCATTTTCTGTGGCATTAATGGTTCTCAGGGCCTCAGTGGTGAGGTCACAGAGGGCGGCGGCGGTCGATCTCTGAAAGTCATGTAGAGGGACAGATGTTAGCGGGACAGCAGCGAACCTGCACAGCGCTACCAGTCTGAACGCACCACTGAGCCTCCTCTCCTTTTGATCTGGTCAGGATGCCTGTGGCAAACTGCAACCATCTCAGTGTCAGGTCTAAATTCAAAGCAGCTTTGGGTCGAGTAGTTGAAGCTCCACAACTCATGTTGCCACTTTCTCATGAAACGAATCCCATGACCAACGCTTAGAAGTTCCTTAAATTGAGAGCTTCACCTTCCGGTTTAGGGACTGCTTCATCACAACATCTGCTGTATTAACTCTCGTCAACAAAAGCCCCAGAAATATGAATTGATTTATAAGGAGGGATTTCTGTTTTTTGTATTTTTGCATTTAAAAAAAAAAAAAAAAAGAAAAAGTTTTTTCATAGATGTATTTGCACGACCAGTCTATGAAACATATTGCGAGTTGGTTCTGCCTGGTAGTCAAGTATCCAAAAGCCATTTAAGTTATTGACAATGTGTACGGTATATTTCTGTTGACTGATCACGGACAATCATTTCTTGACGTAATGAACATCAAGGTCAAAAGCAAACAGAAGGTGTACTTTGACAGACTCTGAAAATACTGCGTTCGGTGATAAAGGCACTTGGATACTGTTATGGGGTCAAGCAAAAGCAGAAATGAAAATGAGTTGACACACAGAAAGCTCGATGTTGTCCTAATTTCAATGATTCAATCTCTTTCTCTCGATTTTAAATCCCGCCCCGCCCTGCTACTGAAGCAGCACCGTCATCTTACCTTCTGTGCTTCACTTGGCATGTCGTCGCTGGATGAGCTCAGGTTCTTCATCGACTCCAGAGTGGCCGCTGCCCTGCCACCACCGATGCTTTTTCCTCCCAAAGAGGCCTTCTTGTCCGCCTCGTCGTCCGATGACATGCGCTTGTTGCCGAGGTTCCCGGCCAACTCGCTCAACTTCTTCATCAGCTTCTCTTCCTCGTTCTGTCCTGATGACCCGGACGCCTGCCAAACACCTTAAATAAATGTCACGCCCACATTCGAATGAAAATAGCATTAAAAAAAAAAAAAAAACTTCTGGAGAAGTACAAGGAGTGGCAAAGATGTATGCGAGACATGGTGAGAGGAGTTTCAAGGTGTTGGAGATGCATCAGGGATTAGGTCTGAGCCCCTTCGAGCTCGCAATGATGATAGACAGATTGACAGATGAGCTCAAGTCAGTTGCAAGGAGTAGGTGGGGCGACAAAAGTGCAGGAGTTCTTTGAAGTGCTATGAATCTAAAATTTGGAGCAATGGGGATGAGAGTTGACGAAGAGAGTTACAGGTAGGACATGACAGGAGGAGCAGAGTAAAAAGCATCAGCCAAAGTGAAAGAAAAATCTTGATCGGACGGAAGATTGAGATGGCAGTGGAGGGACAGCGGATATGTCGGCAGAAGGATGCCGGAAAAAAAAGAGGCGAGGGGAAGACTAATAAGGAGAAATGGATTTGAAAAAGCTGGAGATTGCGTGGAAGATGAAGAGGATGTCAATCAAAGTAACTGGCACGGAGGGGCAACGACTTTGAAGAAAGATTTCCTGCGTCACCTTGTCGGCAGGCGACATCTTTTCCTCCAAACGATTCAGCAGACCCTCGATGGCCGACATGCGTTTGTTCAACTCGTTAATCTGCGGAGTCCAAACAAACGCAGAAAAATTTGCAATCCAGTTGCATCATGGTAAACACAAGGATTTGGAAACAGGTACGCTTCTTTCGGTGCTATGAATGAAATATCAAATATTTCTCCCATTGTAGCGCAAAGCCTTGTTTCCCGATTAATACACCAAGAGACTGATCTCAATGGCAACTCAGCGGGCAAACATGTCTGTTCGATATCAACTCATGATACTTCTGGCCCTTATTTTCAAAAATGGCGCCGGCAGAAATGCTGTACAGGCGGAAGTCTTGATGTGCCTGTTTGTGGCATGGTCACAACGGGTGACGATGACAAACCACAAACTTCAGGTTAGGACATGTCAACACTACCATGGGAGCCATGCCGCCCGCTAACATATTTAAGTCGCCAGGGGTTATCACCAGCTCATTCTGTTTTTGATGAGCGTACCCGCTCACGTTGTCTATTGCCACACTGGCCAAGAGCAGTGACAATGTTCAGGTCACGCATGGAATCGCCACGTCCTTCTCCGCACAGAGATGTCTCCATGCAAGACGTGAGTGCGCCACATTTAAAGGGAATGAGAGGAGAATCGGCCGTGTCCATGCCCACAACGGCGCAAACCAAGCTTTTTAACAATATGATGGTTCGGTCACGTCTGCGGAATTAACAACCTTGGATCTAAAATGCCTCCGCATTTTATGCCCTACACTGTGCTAGTTTGTACCAGACATTTTTTTTTCAATATTAATCAAGAATCATTAGAAACCGGAATTGAATTGAATTTTCCAAATTCATTTTAGGCCCAACCCAAGTGAGCAGCAACATGGTGAGTGTCTTACTGGAGGGTTTTGACCAAGGTTCTCCTGAGATGAGGCCCGGCTGTTGCGGCGGCGGTGGTGGGGTGGCTGGTACATGGGTGGAAAACGCTGACACTCTTCTTCATCAGATGTGTCGATATACTGCTGACGAGCCATGGAGCTGATCTTGGACAAAGATCGAGTCCGAACCATTCGATTCTCACCGTAATCGTCTGGAGCAGAGAAGAAACGCCATCATGAGTTCAAACAAGTACACGCTTACATTCTGCAAGTGTGCTGATGGGAGTTTGTTTTCACCACTTCTCATTGCAAAACGATCCAAACTTCTTCGGCGATTCATTCGCTGTTGGTTCATGTCGAATTCCCCGTCATTCCTGTAGGCTCGATCCTCCTGAATTTGCTGACGCGTGACACAGAAACGTGCATTTCTTGTGTGAATTATAGTTGAGACAAAATCTAACTCTGGCTGTCACAAAAGTGATTCCTAAATATTATTACAAAACACGAAAATAGCTCTTGAGATGTGTGTGTGTGTGTGTGTGTGTGTGTGTGTGTGTGTGTGTGTGTGTGTGTGTGTGTGTGTGTGTGTGTGTGTGGGTGTGGTTTGCCGGTGTGTGTGTGTGTGTGTGTGTGTGTGTGTGTGTGTGTGTGGCTTTGTCCTGGGTGCTGAACATTTGTGTGTGTTACCTGCACGGACGAACGGCGTGAATGGGGGAAATAGTCCTCCGAGTCAAAGTCGAATGGATGAACTGACAACAGGCGTTTATTTTTACGCATCTAAAAGACAATTTGTGTCAGAAAAAAAAACATAACATTTTATTGTGGGGGGGGGGCGGATATTTTCCTGTTTCGTTTTACCGATTTGTATCGTTGCGCCTCAATTTCTCCTTGATCATCGTCATTTGGGTTGTAGTGGTCTGCAACACAAAATGATTGATATCTAAAGTTGAGGCTGCGTCAGAATTAAATATTTCAACCAATTTGCTGCCTTTTTTTCCAGAATAACACTGCGGAAACACCTCCGGTCTTCATATGAAAGGTTGCATCTCACTGAGCGGCGAATGCTTGCAAATGTTTCTGAGCGTAGCAATTTTTTTTTTTTTTTTTTTTTGGTCGGGGTTCGTTAAAGGTTACAAAGGCATTCTCAAGTCAAACAATTGTACTTGTCGCAAACCATTTTTCTTGTCGCCAGCAAATTTTGATGTTAAAAATGATTTTGTGACCAAAAAAAAAAAACCCCAAAAATCTGTCACTTCCCTGTCATTCAACATATAAGTCCCGCCTGTTAAAAATATAATAAATATTTGGTTGCCCCTTCTATTAATGTACTAATATTAACTCACATACTGCTCATACTGAAAAGAGGCAACGGTAAGTATTTTAAGGACTCACTGCTGCGGACATCCGGCATGCTCTGAGTGTCGTCATCCCGTCCACCTGTCACATAAAAAGTACTTGATTAGCTGTTAGCATATGGTGCTCGTGGTCGTTCGCACTCACATTTAGACATTCATTTGAATATATTGTGCTCTATTTTGAAATTGGAAAATAATAATTTCAATATACACAGTCAGCTTGATGATTTGATGGTCATTTTTTGGGAGAACACATGAGAGACTGACAGCCAATTCAATGACCCAGATTGCAACATTTGCTTAGAAAGTCCAAAGTGTTGTACAGTATAGTGGTGCCTTGAGATACGAGCTGTCTTTCAGGCAATTTTTGGGGAGCTTTGCCTCTCAAGCAAACTTGAGATAAGAGCAAAGAATGCTCGGTAGCAGCGACTCAACTGATCTCACAACAAGCAGCAGTCTGGCTAATACAACTAACAGTTCTTCAAAAAGGACTCTTCCAAGATGTTTACTGCCACTCCAAGTTAAAGTTTACGGTCAAACTAAACATCAAACCAAGACAATAACACGTCGCGTTTTTGAAGCAACAATATACCTTTAGCCTCTAAGTCAGCTCGTACAATGCTCCTGGCACTGCAAACAAGTAACGAAAAACACCACAGCCATGCTAACGAATAGCATGTAGCATCTATTGGGCAGTGTGATCAACTGATATTTGAACACAAAGGTTGAAGCAGAGCACACAGACTTATGATAATACTCACAGGCATGTATTCTTTATCATCTGTGAAGAACAACGATGACTCCATGTACTGTATCTCCATATGTTTGCATTTTACTGCTCTGAGGTGGCCAAGGACCAGAAGGGTCAGCACCATGTCCATTGAAGACAGGCAAAAATGATGTCCATAACTAATTTGCAATATTCTTTGTCATGATAAAATATTTTCCATCAAAGAAAATACAAAGTTTTTGGATGGTTGACTGCAATGGATGAATGGTATGTTTTGAGATCCAAATGTTTTGAGCATGGTCACGGAACAAATTAAACTCGTGAGTCAAGGCACCGCCGCATCTTCAAATAATAAAAACCGTTTCAGACTTCCCTGCTTCGTGCTCACCGTCTCCATTCAGTCTCTTGTACAGTGACCTCATCACCTTGGCACTGCCGAATCGCTTGAAACGGTTCCGGATGTTGTCATGGTACCACCCCACGGTGCCAATCTTAAGAACCCTGCAGGAGCGAAAACGCCGTTTGAGCGTGGTCGAACTGAGCTGGACAGGAAAAGCTCGCACACGGGGGCTCACCTGGTCATGCGACAGTTGTCGCACACCCAACCGTGCTCCTTCTTGTTATAGCGGCTGCATGACTTGCAGGTGAACATGCGGCAATCCAGGCACTGGCGCTTGCTGTTCACCAGGAACTTAAAGGGTTGCAGGCAGCGGATACACAATGACTCGGCCAAGTTGTTCTGCGCGCCGAGCAGCTCACGTTTGGTGTCCTCCTTCTGGATGGAGTCCTTCAGTTTGCTGTGAAGCAGCAGATGATTAGTTCACTGCAGCGGCGTGCGAATGGGAGGTGGAACGACGGTGCGAACATCTGTCTGGGCAGGGGGAAACCAACGCACTCCTCAAGCCCGGTGATCAAAATTATATCAATGGGCAGGAAAATATATTTTTCCCAGAGTGCTAGAGTGATCAATTAACCTCCGGTTCATGTTTTTGGAATATGGGAGAAAACTGGAGTGCCTGGAGAAAAACCTGCGCACGCACGAGAAAAACGTGCAAAATCCTCGCAGGAAAGCGAGACCCGGAATCGAACCCTGCACCCCTGTACCCCTGCACCGCGAGGCCAACATGCTAAGCAGTCATCCACTGTGAGGCCCGTAATGTTTACAAAACTGACATTTTTATCATGATTGTTGTTGTTCTAAAACAAACACACTGAACATGATAATATAAACAGAATACAAATGAATATTAAAGGTAAACCAAATTACAGTTTTTTTCAATTAATATTCTCAGACATCAAATAAATATCAGTATAATAATGTAACAATCGCCCATATAGTAAATCATGGGTGTCAAACTCAAGGACCAGGGGCCATATCTGGCCCGCCACCGCATTTTATGTGGCCCGCAAAAGCAAATGAAACGTCAACTTCTATGATGCTTGCTAAAATCTGTACCAAAATTTCACATTCTCATATGTAATAAATGAGAGAGCTATTGTAAGCATTTTTTTTAGCTACCAAACCCCTCATTCCAGTTGTTTAATAGTTGAATTGACCATTATTCTTGATATAGTTTCAGTGGATAACGGCCTTCCAAACGAAACAGTAACTGCAATGTCGCCAGCGACAAAAATAAGTTTGACACCCACGCAGTACATCAATCATGAAAATCGAATTGGGCATGGGATAATCTGATTGTGCCTCTGAAACTCCAATTCAGTTTGTGATGAGAGAAATTGTGAATGCGGTTATGAAATTGTAGATGTTATCATCAGAATTAGCATTATCTCATGTGGGTTCACCTACTTTCTCCTCTATGGAAATGTGACGAGACAATTGAATGATCCTCCAAATTCCGTGTGTGTGTGTGTGTGTGTGTGTGTGTGTGTGTGTGTGTGTGTGTGTGTGTGTGTGTGTGTGTGTGTGTGTGTGTTTGCATGCCCTGGGGTCTGATGGGATTTTGAGTCTGCTGTGGAGACAAGAGTGTCTTTGTGGCATGTCCGTGTGACTGTCATGATGTACTGCGGCTTTCACGCTCACATTCCTTGATTGTTTGTATGAAAACGTGTTGCATGACTTCAGTCAAAAACCTTCAACCAGGCGCCGTAAAACTCAAAATTCATACAATGGCACATTTTTGGGTTGTTTTTTTTTTCCATTTGTGATACAACCCAATTTGGTTGCATCTGCACTCTACAATGACAAAAATGGATTTCTCTTCCGTTCTCACAAGTACATGATTCACAAACAGGTATGTACATATTTCCAACCGTATCAATAATTAGACCCACCCAAGTCGGTCTTCCTCGTTTTTCCGCAGGTTGAAGTCACGCTGAATCACTTCCCAGACGTGTTTCGCTTCTTCGTCGGTCAAGCGAGACAAATCTAGTTTACGCTCCATGGTGAGGTCACTTCTCTGAAGGAGTAAGAAACAAGTCCACTGTAGTCTTTTTTTTTTTTTTAACTCAAACATTACTTTGCAGAAGCAATACATTTTTCATCAACTATATTGTTTTTGAAACAATCCTTGGTAAAACCCTGAAATCTTGACATGCTGGAGAAATTCTAGGTCGGGTGCTGGCGATAACAAAAGATCGAATGAAACACGTAAAAAGAACTTTGAAACGCATTTTAATTGTTCTAAATAGAAATCTCTCCAAAACACGAAATGGGTTGAATGAAATAAGATAAGATAAGATAAGATAAGCCTTTATTTGTCCCGCAATGGGGAAAATACCAGTTAAATACATGAAAAAAACTTCCAAATTAAAGGGCTGACGAGATCAAAAGTAATTTGACCAACAAAGTGCCAAAGAGGCAATGATTTAAAGTTGAAATTCCTGCATTTTGATCAAGAAAATAGGGAAGGGAAGAGGAAACTCACCTCGGTGCAGCTGCTGCTGAATCATCCAGCGCTTAACTGAGAAGGTCAGCTGATCACATGTTCACATCCTCCTGACATCATCGGGATCACGCTCACAATAAATACTTTATTTGCTGAGCGAGGACACTGAGAAGTCCAGGTATCCAATAGGCTCCGTTAAGAAATGTACTGGCTAAAACAGTATTGTATTGTATAATGCCTTTAGCTCGGAACACCAACCCGGTTTCATTGGAATCGTTCTCGTAGTTTTAGGTAGCTCCCCCGAAACCCTTCATCAGTTGAGTAAATGTGTTAGCAAAGATATGAGTACACCTTCTTTTGGTAGCATAAAAATCCGAGCCACACTAGCTCGATAGCTCTTAGCTAGCTATTAGCTGTTATAGAAAGCTAGCAACAGTAGAACAACGTTTACAGCGTTTTCACCGTTTTAACGTTCACATTTCCAAGTCCCGATTTCATTCATTTTCCATCTGCCGATTTTGCTTACAAGGAACACCTTTCGAACGTAAACTTGATGAAAACTACCAAGATCTTCCCACAAAATGGTGAAAAGGTGTTCGTAACAACGAACGGCGGGAAGCTAACGATCGCCGCAACCTTGATTTGAACAAAGCGTTGGCTTCGTCGGCGGCACGAGCAGTTGCCTAAAGCGGCTGACTGAAAGTTTTCAGAGATTAAGTGGGAACGCTACAGTTCGTTGTTTCATGTCTTGTAAAATTATTTTTCTTCATGGATTCATATTTGTAGTTGACATGTTGATACAACTATAAATGTTATACTGTATTAGACGTCGTTAGTTGGCGGCCATTTTATTGGAAAGGCTTACAACGAACTACCGTTATAACGTACAGATTCGTCATGTCCCTCGGGGTACGTTGTCACGAGGTTCGACTGTCCTGTAATCGGCAGTAAAAATAAATTAGTACTTTTGCACCATTTAAAAGACTGCATTTGTACTTTTACCAAAGTAAACTCATCAAATCAGTATTTCTACTTTTCCCAGTGTCTGTCCACCAGAGGCTTTTTTTTTAAACAAGTATCTGCACTTTTATTTATATTAAGGGCAGAATGTTTGCCACATTTGTGTATTGATGACTTCTGATCCAAGCAATATTTGTTATAAAGCTACTTTGAAACACACATGGCTGATTGTGACAACCGTGCCTTGCCCCATGGCTGCCTGCTGTTCCTAGCAGCTCTTTCATGCCCCATGTGATGCATTTATCGGGGATGACGCCATGATATTTGGCTGGCCACTGGCAAGCAACACCAGCAGCATTGGGGAGGGACATGAATGGCAAAATGTTTTGTTTTTTTCTTATCGAAAGAGTGGAAGCATCGATAACACTGTAATTCACCCTCTTTCCCGCTAGGTGACACAAATACGCATGCGTCCTTGTGCCAATAACATGATGGAGTGAATGAAAAAAAACTGCAGATGCCTGTTTGGATACATTGTCAACATGTGCAATAACCAGGTATTTAAACTTTTTTTTTGTTTCAAATCATATTTTTCTAAGCGCATAATCCAAGTAGAGTGATCAATTATTTACATCTCGCACATTTATTTTGTTGACAGTAGTTACAAGGAAAATGACAACGTTACATAAACATTCAAGCACAGGTGTCAAACTCGAGGCCTGCGAAAGCTCGCCACAATTTTTCAAAACTAGCTGTAAAATGAACACCAATTGCAGGGGCAATTATGAAACATGATCGAGCAATTATTCCCACACGCTGAACATGTTAGGTCAGGGACGAGAAGTAGCCACACGCCAGGTCCGCAAACAAACACAGTGCAGCTCAGTTTCTGACTCGCGGACGACATCATGGCTCGCCATATGTTTTTTTGTTTTGTTTTTTTAAGTAGCACAGTGCAAATTCAAGTTCCAGCTGCATTTAAACAACCTAATAAGCCAGCATAAGAATTTCGACTGTTCAAAGTGTTACTGTACTTTTCGGCGTCATTTCCCGAAATGAAGACCAATTATTATTGTTGCTCGTTCCGAAAAGGAAAAGATTCAGGCTGTTGATGTTTTCCTTTTAAATGTCATGAAATCTGTTGGGTTACGCAATAAATTAGCTGTTTGTTTTTGCTTTTTCTTCCCTTGACCATATCAAATGACCTTAAAACCAAGGTACAGACCAAATCGTGATTTTTGGTGTGCTCTCAGTTACGCTAGTGATAGTATGTTATGAATCTATGCCCTCATCACCATGAGACGTGTCTTGAAGTGCTTGTTTTTTTTTTCCGTGTTCAACATTAATGAAATCTGGACCATATGAAAACCCTGCTTGCATCAGTGAGGTTTTATAAAAATGAAAAGAAAAAAAAAAA